TGCTACAATCTCCAACTTTTACTGGCCCCTTGATAATTAGCAGGTAGGATGTTACATTCGTTATAAAGCATCTCACATCACCTTGCCCAGAATGCTTGTGTAATCAACTTAACGCATGTTACAGGCCAGGGTTAACATTCACCTGAAAAATAGAACATGTCACTAATTTTAGTGACCACAAGTGATTGTTATAATTTTCACTGACAATATTCTGTATCAGTAACTCAAACTCAAAATAGTTTTTGGACACCCTTTATTAGTTTACATATTATTATGTGTTACTATTTTGTACCTCTAATTATATTTACCTCTGTTATGAAACTCCAGACTCTTTACAGATCTAACAGTCTATGATTTTTTTTTTTTGGTCACTTATATGAGTTTTTGAGTGTGGATCTGAATTAAGGGTAGGAAGAAAAAAATTAAATCTAACTTTTTGGTTATTGTAACATAGAAGTGTTAGGATTTTTTTTTTTTCTGTTTTGAGAGCCATATGCTCTTAGAACATTGCTGGCCAAGCAGCAAGGACTCAATACATGCTAACTAGTTTGCTAAGTGACATGCTAGTACTTACGGATAGATGACATTTGTTGTTTATGAGTGCCTGTTGTCTCATTTTATGTTTTGTGCTTATTCACTGGCCAGTAACTATAAGTTTCTCATCCTTGCCCTGTCTTTCCTTGCTTTGCTCCTCTGTCTCTATTTTTAGAACAAAATTAGAAAATCCAGGTAAAACTAGCTGAACCAAGGTTGAGGCAGAATTAAGACAATGGTTATGCTTCAGTCTCATTACTATAGTAAAAGTGCACTCACAACACCATGACAGATCTAGTTTAAGACCAAAGTTGGAGGAAAAGGACATGAATGCAGGTTCTGGAAATCTCCATCTATTTCTCTGAAATCCCTGATGTAGACACTTCAGCCTCTTAGCTCCTTAGAACACCCCCAATAAATCCCCTGGCTTTTCCATTCTGGAAGATGAGCTCAGAGACCATAGCTGCCATTTCCTCAGGTTGCTGGCTCCTGATTCAACTTGATTTCCTTCCCACCAACTCTAGTCCTCTCAAGTATTGGCTTTTGAGGGGTAGACAGCTGGACCCTACTCTGCTAATACTTTGTTTATGATAACACCCTGAATTTCCCATGTGCCATCTTTGGACTCAGATGGCACATGAAACATGTTCTTCATCTATGCGTAAGCCAAGCAGGGCTTTCTACCAACCTAATCACAAGACTCAACTCATGTCAGTTGAGAAAACTGAAATTCTACTTCATTTTCACTTGGGACATGTAGGGCTGTAATTAATATTATCATAGGAACCCTGATATTGAAACTAATAGAGAAAAGGTGGGCAAAGATAGAAGACTACAACTAATACAATAGTAAAGTAACTATCAATGACTTCTTTTTATTTACTGAGATTTAAGAACAAGCATACTCTTAAAACCTCTCCTCAAGAATGAATCAATTGGATCAATATTAATTTTGTAGGAAAGTAAGTCTTTTCTTCCCTGACCATTATTTGCAGTGGGAACAGTCCTTCAGTTCTGCAAAATATTTCTTGGGCATAAAGTTGTCACACTAGTCTGTTTATTTTAAAAAGATGGTTGTGTAATTTGGTTGGATATTATACCTTTTATAACTCACATGACATAACTATAAACTCTCTTTGGGGAAGAAAGGGTAAGGAAAAATACATCAAAGCAAGATGAACTGAAAATATAACAAAAAAGCTAAGAAGAACAATACTGAAAATCCAAAATTGTTAGTTATTATAAATGCTTAGAAATTTAGAATTTCTTAACCAGCTTTGTTCTACTAATCAGCACATCTACAGAACAAAACCCGTAATTATTTCTTGATGTAACGACGATTAGTACTACCCTTACACATGCCAAACTTACTATAGTTCTGATAACTTTGATATAAACTCTCCTGACTACGTCCTAGTTTCCCAATAGTATGCTCATACAGAGCGGATATTTTTTCTTTGATGTGTTCTCAGCATAGACCATAGGAAGCAAAAACCAGAAAGAACAAAGGACAGGGTAGGTATTGGGAGTTGATGAATATGAAGAAATAACCTGGGACTCTTGGACACAGACAACGGATTTAGACCCAGCCTGAGACAATGAAAATGATTTTCTCCGGAAAAAAACAAATAGACAAAAATTACCAGGTGCTAGTAGAAGTAGTGTGAAGCAAGCTGTGAAAATAGCAACATTTATAGGAAGGGCTGTTGTGATTTGCAACCTTAATAAGCATATTTTCTGCCTTTATGAAGAGCCAGAATCACTATTATTACCACAATTGAATAATTTTGTTAAAAACCTAGAATAAATGGAATGCATCTAAGTGATTTATGATCAAAACAAAGCCATCCCATAACAGCATGATATTTTCTCTAGTGGAGTTTCCACTACTTTGTCACTTTGTTACTCCAATCAGGTAATTAAATGATTGCAGTATGTTCCGAGTAAACATATTTTAACCCTATCAATTAAATGATAATTGACCCAACATTACACACAAGTCTGTCTCATACTCCCATCACATAGCTATGTGTATCAGCACTTATCATTGTCTGTTACTTTTTTTCTCTCCTAGTGGGCCATGAAACCTTGAAGTAAGTACGTCTTCATTATAAGAGCTCCAACACCTATTGAGTGGTCAATTATGTGCTATATTATATGTGTCAGACTGGTTATTTTATTTAAACCTGACAAAGCCTCGTGACAAGGACATAATTCAACAACTATAAGGAAAATAAAAGTCAGAGACACAATTTTCTTGAGTTTATAAAGAAAGCTAGAAAGTAATAGACTTGAGATATGAACCCAGGCAGCCTCACCCACTGATCTTGTTATCTTAATCATTATGCAATTCAGCAAAGAAGGTTCCATGTTGATTAAACCAAGAATATTATAATAATTAATGTTTATGCTTACTATGTGCTGGGAATGTATATCAAGCTCTATATATTAACTCATTTCTATTTTTTGCAACCCTGTAAGGTGAATACTAATATTGACCCTATATATTGGGTGAGGAAACAGCAGAGATGGTAAGTAACATAAGAATCAGGATTTGAACCCTGGCTCTCTGGCTCCTGAGCTCTCATGAGACACTTACCATTGTAATATACACTATTGACACATGACAAGGATGCTAAGATCCAAATCAACGTGGTCATATCTCTAGACATGGTAAGGTAGCTGCACTCATTGTGTTCCGTTCCATGCAACTGAGCCTGTTTATGTTTTTGTCATTATCACATATAGTTTAACTATACCCAAATGGGAAAGATACCAGCACCTGTATTTACAGTTAAGTATCAGCTAGAAGTTGATACTTGAGCATTGGTTAGCTGAGTTTCTTGACAAGAAGTAAAAAACAAAGAAATTGGTGTGATTTTAATCCCCTGATAAAGAAGCATACCTGAAAAATAATGTTTGTCTTAGCACTGGATTAAAAAAACAAATCATAAAAGAAATGTTTTCTTTCCCATATCTGATACCATACCATACCATACCATAATGATAATCCATCATATTTGAAATTCACCTCTAAACTGGGCTTTATCATTCTGACTCCTAAGACTTCCAAGTTCCCTTTCTTCCTGGATCCTGGACTGTTTAAATATGTTGTCAAATTCTGATACTATTCTTTTAATGTCATTTTGTAGTCTTGTTACTAGTTCTCATTCATTGATTCACTGATTAATTCAATATCAATAATAATATAATGCACTGCATGAAATAATGCACCATAAAATGCACTGCACATTAAAAAAAAAAGCCAACTGTCTTGAAATTTACAGCTTGACAATAACCAATAACTGGGTAGAAGGGCAATTTTAATGATGTTCTTCTGCCTCATACTCATCAAACTTTTGCTGGCATTTGGTGTTCGAATCCAAGCATTGCTTGTTAATATTTCAGCAAATAGAAATAAGAGAAAACTGTCTTTAACATCACAGGTTGTTAAGAATCTTCCATTTTAGTTGGATTGTAAAAACATCCTCATGAAAGTAAACACAGGAGAAAAACTTAGTTAGCTTGAGCTGGATTGTTGATAGTTAAATGAAAGACTGAGAAGATTGTTTTTAACTTAGGAGAAATTGGGGACCTACTGAAAATGATTGGAATTTTGCTTCAGTAAAATTATCTTAAGCTCCACAAGGAGAGAAATTCATTTTATGGATAAAGTATTCCAAGCACCTAGCACAGTGCCTAGCATAAAGTAGGTACCCCATAAATTTATTGCTGAATGAATAGAAGGTTTATATGCTCTAGAGAGTAGTCAAGGGGTTAGAAACATTAGCAATTCCTTCTGGTAATATATTTTACCAATCCTTGCCCAGACACAGAACTAATTTTTCTTCCATACTTATGCACTAGATAGGTAAATATTTATGGGTTTCCTCACTTGAAGAAAGAATCCAGAAATATATTTAGGATGGTCATGGGTGAAACAAGAAATATTTATTTAAGAAATACAATTTTCTTCTATTATATTAGCCTGAAAGATTTGACACTGCGTTTAAATATCCTATCTGAAGTCTTCAGAAGGATTCACATAAAACACAAAGCATTTCTTTTAAAGGGCAATGTTTATTTTTTAGAGAGAACTCTTTTACAAGCTTGAGCTGAGGAGCTAATGTATTCTCACACAGGAATGGGTATGAATCCAGCAGACCTTGACTCTTCATTTCCCTCAATCCTTTGATCACGTGCTGTGATCAGTGTTCTGTGATTTTATTCCAAGTAATTTTACATTGACAACTTTTCGTGTGCTAACACAGGGACTACATTAGCTGAGATAGTTCAGTGATTCTTAACTTTTTTCTTCCCTTCTTCAACAAGTATTGCAAGTAATGTTCAAATTTGGGATACAGTTCCATGGAAATATCTATAATTATGCAAAAATAATCAAAGTATAACTTAAGTTGCCATCCTTTTCTTCTCATTCAGGATTGCATCTATGCTAAGGACTGAGTGTTTGTGTCCCTCTATGTTCCTATAATTCCCATGAATAGGTGGATTAGGTGTGGGGCCTTTGAGAAAAATTAGCTCATGTTGGTGACCCCTCATGAATAGAATTAGTGCCTTCAGAATAAAAGACATGAGGATGTGCTTTCTCTTGGCCTTTTGAGGGTACAACTAGAAGGCAGTAGTCTACAAGCCAGGAAGTGGGGCCTTCCCAGGCCTTAAACTACAGGTATCTTGATCTTAGACTTCTCAACCTCTAGAACTGTGAGAAAGACCTTTGTTGTTTAAGTCATTCAGTTTCTGATATTTTCATAAGCTTGATAGCTCATTTTTTTTCAGTGCTGATTAATTTTCAGCTCTGGTTATATCATAGTTATTTACCTATTTACCAACTCAAGGACATCTTGGTTGCCTCCAACTTTGGGCATTTATGCACAAACTTTACATAAACATCTGTTTATAACCTGTGTGCATGTTTTTGTGTGTAAGTGCAACTCCTTTGGGTAAATACCATGGAGTATGTTTGCTGAATAGTATGGTAAGAGTAAGTTTAGTTTTATAATAAACTGCTAAACCATTTTCCAAGTAATGTATCATTTACATTTCTACCAGCAATGAAGGACAGTTTCTATTGCTCCACATTCTTGTTAGCATTTAGTGCTGTTGGTGTACTTAAATATTATGTTGAATTTATTACTACTTGATGAGTGTAGTTACCCTTTCCTTCAATTTTTGTTTCAACATAACACATGAAGCTTGTTAAATAAGAAGGAAGTTCAGATTTTTTTTGGTTATTCATCACATTTTTATATTTCTTTTGGTGAGGGTTTGAAGCTATGTAGATTTAACAACTAACAACTTTACATTGGTAGTTTATAGGTCCTGCACATTTATTAGACATCAAATAAGCACATAATGGGCTGAGTAATGAGCTCCTACAATGCTCCAAAATATTAATTGTAGAAAACTCAATTTTGCAGTGCTAAAAATCTGACTATCTGTGCTCTTCATTTGCTAGTTTGTAAAAAACAAAAACCTGGCTTACCCTATATTTGCCACAACTGTACCTCTTTTAAACCAAAATCTGATAATGTCTACCTATATCTCTTCAAATTTTTAATGATCTAAATGCATATTGCTTTTGAGACAATGATAGAACTTCTAAAAATGGACTGTAAGGACTTGTCTATCTAGCCTATACCTTTCTCTCCACCGTTATTTCTGGCTCCTTTTGTTCTCTGGAGAAACTGACTTTGTAGTTAGCTCCTACTTCTCCTTCAGACACTGTCTTATATATTTTCTTCTTCTGAGTCTTTTTTCTAAAGACTGCACCTCCTGTCTAGTTAAGTATCTATCCTAGACTCATTGTCACTATCACTATGTTCTCTCTACTTGTAGGGTATTTTTATGGTGATTAGGATTGTTTGAGAAAGGTCTATCACTACATGATAAGAAAATAGAGACTATTTTTTTCTTCCCCATTATGCTAAGCATAGTGAAAACACAACATGCATTCAATAAATATTCAACTAGGTAAGTAAGTGGACAGATAGATAGAAGATATCTTTAAAAAAACTGAGTTCCTTAACCCCTTGAGAATTCTCAAGCTGCTGTCAATCTTCTTTGAGCATATTTTAAAACTAAATGCTGAACCCAGAACACTAAAAGATTGTCATCAACATACACACTAAGGCACTGTCACTCACTCACAACCAGCACACCCCTTGTTGTATTCTCAACTCTAAACTTGAATTAGAGCCTTCTGATGATCTAATATTTATTCTTCTCATAGATGGCTAGTGCAAGCAGTTCGATTTTTGTTTCTTGGTTTGTTTTTGTTTTTCAAAAATTTTCTCCTAGGACCATTGTTCATGAAATTATGAGAATCCTGGGAGAGTATCTGGGGGGATATAATGTTTGCTGAAAATATGCCACAAGACAACTTGATTCTGTTTACTCCTAAAATGATTCATAATATTTCATTATACCTAACAGGTTTTCTGGCTTCTCAGTGAGTCAATTTCACATAGTATATATGTGAAAGGCTTTTAATGATTAAAAAAAACAAAACAAATAGCCCCATCCATCCTTATGCAGGTCCAGACCTGGGGACAGATCCCAAAGACCTGCCTTCCATGTCGCACAGCATCATGAACATAAATACTTTATTTTTGTCCTTATTTTACTGGATTATAAATGTGGACTTTGGTTGTTACCATACGGGAACTAACTTCCAAACAGAACTAGTGGCTAGACTCATTAGCAGATTGAAAATGATTTTAACTTCCTGAGGGCAAGAGTCTACTTATTTTGTATGTGCTTGCACAGCTCATCGCCCCTCTTCTTTACCCATCATTGAGCCCAATTATATGAAAAATGCTTTCTGCATAACTACCTGAAGTAATAATTTGCATGATCTTTACAAAAGCAAGATGTGACCAGAATAACTTTCTGTACCTTTGAAACTATTTTAAATTTCAAGTAAAGTGGGCTTTATTACTCATTTCATAGGGAGACATGTGATGTTGAATGTATTCATTAATGGATGAGAACTTAAAAAATAGCTCAATTATATTAAAATATTGGGCAACCATCATATTCAACAGAAATGCTAAACCACCTATTAATGCAATCACTCTCTTTGATTGCACCTACACTTGTTTTGAATATCTCTATGGAAACCAGAGAAACTGTCCTTAGTCAAACATAATGGGGCTTTTAAAAATACATTTTAAAATCACCTGCAAACAATAGCCTTCAAGTCAAAAGCTCTAGAAACAATTTCTTCCTCTTTAGGGTCCTAAACATAATTAATATAATTCATTATAATCATAATATAATTACATAACAAAGAGCAGTGAGCTGCTTTTGAATAAAGAAACTTATCTCCAATATTTCTTTAGATTGGAACAAATGGAATAAGTAAGCCTTTGTTTTTTGGTTCATTTTTCTGATGATTCGGAACTATGACAGACAAATGAGAGTACACTAGGATACAAGGGTCGTCTGAGTTCAAGTTGCTCCAAACTTGGCTGAAACAGGAAATGCTGGAGATCTCATGAGAAAACAGTTATATTTGTTGAAGGAAAAACTTTTGAAATAAACTTTGTATCAATTGATTTTTCTTTTTTAGAATTGCCCTCAGTGCTGAGATGACTGATTGCATGTTGAGAGATGAGATGAATGGGTATGTGGTTTCATCTAGCACTGGTAG